CACTACCGAGATTACCTTGTCCCTAATTTATACAGCTACCTGAAGCGCATCTGAATTGCTCGGTTTTAAAGCAAGGCACGGAAACTGTCCAAACGGCCACGCAACTCCTCCTGTAGCAAATGGGAAGAGCTTCATCGTGGTCTGCTCCGGCCTAACACATTCCCCCCCCCCCCCCCCCCCCCCCCTGAAATTATCCCTCCGCCAAGGATATTTTGGACTTTGTGTCACTGGGACTGCTTGTGTAGAACGCAAATCAACACAATTCCACTTTCGAGCAGAGTTGCATTTGAAAGCAAATGTGACTCAAGGGTGCTGGAGAAACGTAGGAATTTTGTTTTATTTTTCCCGGACTGTATAAAGACCGTGTATCCGAACGGAATTAAAGTAGTAAACTCTCCCCTGGGTATTCTGTTCCATTTGTCTAATGCGCCTGAGGGGTTTTCAGACAAGGCCTTAAGCGCCAGGAGTCTCTAACCTTGAAAACTTTTTAACATCTGGGGACTTCAATTCCCAGAATTCCCCAGCCAGCCAGCCAGCCGGCTGGGGAATTCTGGGAGTTGAAGTCTACAGGTCTTAAAAGTGGCCAAGGTTGGACAAAACAAAAGCAGGGGAATCGAGGCAGAAAAACACTGCCATCTATCGGTCACATTTAAATGACAGATTTAGCCGTCATTTAAACATGTCCTTAAGAGAATACAGGTAGTCCTCGACTTACGACGGGTCACTTGGAAGCTGTCCGAAGTTACAACGGACCCCCACAAAAGGGTACCTAATAAGCCAGTTTGTAGCTTCCCAAAAATCACATGGCTGCAATTTTGGACTTTTCTTTGCCGATTTTCCAGAGTTTGGAAGTAACTAGCTTACTTCTTCTTTTTTTGTTTTGAAATAATTTTTATTACAATTTTCCTTTACGCAACTCTAGTACATAATCAACAGACTGTGTCATTTTTGTATGCTTTGGATCAACATTCCATACAATATATACATTATATACATTCAATATCTAATCCTCAGTAGCCTTATGTATATTTCCAATTTTTATTTCTATGATCTATCCAAGCGTACCATTTTTCCCAAACTGCATAAAATTCCGAATCATCTTTTTCTTTTAATTCTAGGGTAAGTTTATCCATTTCGGCACATTCATATATCTTCTGAATGATCAATCCCTCCGGTGATGTATTGTGCGAACGCAATTCTTGCCGCTGTTAATATGTGTAGAATCAAATATCTTATCTTAGAAGTAACTTACTTCTAAATTGCCTGTAAAAAAAAAATAAACAAAAAACCCCACCACTCCTTGGATAAAAGGGATTCATTTAACGAATGCAGCATTCATGTAATGGCTGCCACAAAGGAGATTTATAAAACTGTGCATGGTCATATGCTGACTCACTTAAGGACAATGACTTAGGACCATAATTCTGGGATCGGGCATGGTTGTAAGTTAAGTACTCCTTGCACTTATTTAAATACTACAGGTCCCATTCTTTTCCTACAATGACAAACCTCTACCCATATAATGGTAGAATATTGAGGTTTCCTGTGTGAGCAGGGGGTTGGACTAGATGACCTCTGAGGTCCCTTCAAACTCTTGTTACTGTTACAACGAAATGGTCATATAGACTCCCCCAAACATTGCACTGGGCCTGGTGGCTCAGCAGACTGATAGCATTGTGATTAACACCAGCTGTCTGCAATTACTGTAAGTTCAAATCTCACCAGGCTCAAGGTTGACTCAGCCTTCCATCCTTTCTAAGGTAGGTAAATTGAGGACCCAGTTTGTGGGGGGCAATAAGCTGACTTTGTATAAATATACAAAAGTATGAAGGCTATTGCTTAACGCATTGTAAACCGGCCTGAGTCTCCGGAGAAGGGTGGCATATAAATCAAATAAAAATAAAAATAAAAAATAAAAAACTGCCTGTCAGCAAATTCACACAACTCCCTTAACCTGGTTAAATGAAACCATTTTATGGATTTGAGCAATACACTGAAATTAACCAATCACTCTGCATTGGCAGCCTACGATGGGACAGGAAAGTTAAGTCAAAGTTGAAAGAAGCTCAGCATCTGCCCGAACACATCTGCTAAGTTTGTAATGTCAACGCTGAAACGAACCTGGCTGAGGCCAACTTGGAAGCTTCAGGGTTGCCACACAACAGTGGGAGCGGGAAAAAATAGTTAGATGGGGTTTTCTAGCCAAAACAATAAAGTTCTCCTGTGGGAATCAAGGTCATTCTCAGAGGTGGCTGGCCAGAGGAGGAGTGAAGTAACCGAGCAACTGGCCAGCACCTGGATTGGACAGTGTGACTTGGGAGGGAAAGGGGAAACTTTGACTTTTTAATTAGGTGAAAGCCGCAGGAACTTTCAGAGTCGGCTTTCACCACTTGTGCCAATATGATGTCTCCAATAAATTGTTCTTTGAGGAATTTGCCTGCTTCGGAGTTCTACTTTCTATGGGTGCATTGCTTGGAAGTCTGACATGTAACTGTTCTGCCCCAGCTACGGACCCCAAAGAACGCAGCACACACAAAGTCTGTACAAACCTTAGTTTACTAAATGAAATCAGTCTTTTTCAAACAAAGGCTGCTAATTAACTTTCTTAACAGCCTACAAGAATCCAAAGAATAAATAATCGTAATCTTACTATGGTTGGCAGAAAGCCCAGAAGCAATTTGCAGGAAACGAATAAGAGAACTAAGATCAGGATGCGAAGGAGAGTGAATGAAGTTGTTCCCTGCAAATTGCCTCAGTCGGCATTCCTCCTTAAATAGGCTAAGGGAGTGGCCAATTAGACCCAAGCCTTACTCTCGAGGAGACCTCCTCCTGAGGAGCCACTCCTGCCTTTTGTCAGCTCTGCGCGCCCGTGCATCGAGAAGAGGCTCCTCCTCTTCTTCCTCTTCACTTATGGGAGTTTCTGGAGGTTCTGAAGGCCTTGGCTGAATCCCTGCCTCTGGCACCACATCTTCTCCAGCCTCCTCATTGTCCGACTCAAGTGCCAGCTGCACAGGCTGCTGGCGCAGCACCACACCAGCCTCCTCGCTGTCGGAATCAGCTACTAGCTGCACAAGCCGCTGACGGGCCACAACAGCAACTGAGCTAATTGAAGTCGTAAGACGACAGCTGGGATGACAATAAACGAGGGCTCAGTATTGTTACCATCAAATAATATAAATCGGTTCCAATTTGCTCAAACTTATAACTTTAGGCAAGGCGTGGAAAGCTTGTTGACAAGCATCTGATCATCACACCGCATCTTGGTGTGACCCGAAGATTCTGAACTCTGGAATTTAATTTGAAGAGCACCTCTGTAAATTCCCAACTTCCAACGGAATACAGGTTAACGTCTGACTTCAGAAACCAAAGTCTACCTTCCGAAATAAAGCCAAAGAGCCAATTTAAGGGCGTCGAAGTCCATTTATTTGGGACGCGCACAGTGGTTCAAAAGAAACACCGCACCGATAAAATAACTCCATTTTTCTCTGTTCCGTACAAAATCATTATACAATTAAAAAAAAAAACAACCAACCCATTAATGGATGTTCCTGCTGGTCCGAAGAGCCGCGTATAATGGACGAGTGAAAGCCCAGATCGAGAAAACTGATTTTCCAAGCACAGAGCTATCATTACCAATTCTCTTTAAATATTTCAACATCGCTAAACATTGCAATGCAAAAACAGCTGCCTGGATGTAGTCCAATTCAGAAGGTCCAGCTAACCGTGGGACCAGATTTTTTGGCTGCTCGGAAGTGTTTTTCCTCAAATCTGATAAAACATCCTTATCAAGATGCTTGGTAGCCTCTTCTACAGTACGAGGAAGAACTGGGGGGGGAAAAAAATAAACAAAAATTGGAGCTCTTTGAAGATTCTCCCATCCCGTCAGAATCCATGACTTAGATTAGGAACTGGCACGCTTTTCTCACAAGGTTGGCGCACGACCATCCATGGTCTTGTTAAGTCTCGATGATTTTGTAAAAAAATTGGCCAATTTAAAAAGTTGGCAGGGTGACAGTGGCACAGGTTATGCGTTTTGGGGGGCGGGATAGTAAACATCCTGTTGCTGGTGAATCCCATCCCAACGGAACGGAAGACTATTTTCGTGTCAGCGTGTGAGAACGCTAAACTCTTCGCTGGCACCCCTGAAGTTACACCACCATAGTCAGCACTACAGGTAGAAGATAACTCCGACCACAGATGGTTCCAATTTCTGCAGGAAATGTACATTAGGAAAATTTCTATGGACCGCAGGGCCGTAGATGGCTGAGACTGCGCTACAGGTGAACCAATCTAATCAAGATTCCCAGCAATGAATTAGGAGGAATCTATTACGAGATTGCCCATGGTTGATCTACAAAGGGCTTATAAATAAATGGAGGATCCAATATACTGTATTTATAGGGCATCCTTCAGAAATCTCGTTGGCTCCTTGAAGTTGACGGTTCAACTCTTGAGTTGAGGGTCTACTGGAGTTGTTCATCTGCAGCCATCTCCGGAGATGTTCCTCAGAGATCCCATCAGCTCTTTTAGTCAATGGAGGCCAACTTAGAAATGTCTTCGTATGGAACACCATCCACCGTACGTCCTTTCAGAGCTCCCTGCAGAGGGAAATTTCAACAAAAGGAAGTTTTAAGGAAGTTCAAGTTTTTGGACGCCAAGAAAATAAACCAATGATCATCTCAACTCAAGGCCCAATAGGATCAAATCATCCTACATCCTACGATGTCTATGTAGATTCTCAGTCATCCAGGTCAAGGTTGTCCCAAAGGTGCTTTTTCAAGAGGCAACTGAGTTGGGACATCAGAGGCTCTCCACAATTGGCAGCTTTAAGACTTGTGGACTTCAACTCTCAGAATTCTCAGCATGGCTGAGGAATTCTGGGTGTTGAAGTCCACAAGTCTTAAAGTTGCCAGCTTTGAAGACACCTGCATTACATGAAGACCCAGCTCCCTGGAGAAGGCTCCAATACTGGGAAAGGTGGAAGGCTAGAGAATGTCAGGCATGAAAAACTAGGTCCACACATTAAGCTTTATTTATTGCTAAAAGCGTGTGCATCTTCTCAACTAATGGTCAGCATCAGATGTCAGCGTTCCGAGTAATGCACCCACCGAAAGCAGAACTCCGAGGTAGGTAGATTCCTCAAAGAACAAGTTTATTGGATACATCAAATCGGCACAGCCGGTGAAAACCAACTCTAATAGTTCCCACAGTTTTCACCTAATTAAAAGAGTGAAAATCCCCCCTCCCAGATGTCACCGGTCACATTGTCCAATGAATACAGCTGGCAGGCTGCTTGGTCACTCCTCTCTTCCTTCTCCTGTTCAGATGACCTTGGTTCCCACAGGAAAACTTTCTGTTTTGGCAGTTAGTTGGGCTATCTACTTCCCTTCTTCCTTCCCTCTCTCGGGCTTCGTGGCAACAAATGAGGCAGCACAAGATGGCTTCAGCCAGGTTCGCTTCAGAGTTGACATCAGGTTAGAGTTAGGTAAGGGTCAACAGCACTCAAGGTGCTTAATTCACTTGCAGCTATGTAGGGATTCTAGGCTGATTCCCTCTTTTCAGTCCACCTCCAGGCTCTGCCATTCCTTCTCCTACAGAGAAGAGAACGACCAAGGTGGATGGACTCAGTTACATTGGGCATGGTCTACCACTGGAAGATCTGAAGGACAACACTGGAGAAAATGTCCATCACAAATGTTCTCCGTCCATCATGGAGAAAATCTATCTACATTGACATTGACTTGACGGCACATAATCCAGTTTCTCTCCCTACACACGAGGGGGAAGTCATATCTCGGGGAGGCACAGAACCGGTATTAAAAAAATGTGGATTTCACCACTGCCTCAAACCCTTAATTCATTGAATGAACGAATCCATTTTCTAAATTTCTTGTTAAGGATCGTCAATAAATAAGGAACGGATGCGGCTGCCTGTTATACGACTATTAAAATATACTCACCGATTGAATGAGGACCGTGGCGGAAAATGACTTCTCGTTGATGCTCAGTAACGTGGCTTCATTCCCTCTGTAGCCTCCGTTTAAAATCAGCACTTTTTTACCTGTAAGGTGAACAGGGATGAATCTAATCTACCTCAAACCTGACATTGATCAGTCTAATTCAGTGCTTTTTTCCTAGGCTTGGCCTAGTTCAGTGGTGGGCTGCAACTGGTTTAACATCTGGTTCAGTGATCGCGCGCTTTGCGTGCCTAACACACTTTGCACGCAGCGTTCAAAATACAGCAATTTGAAGCTCAGCTGCTTACATTCTAAGGCAGCCCCAGTAAGTAGAACAGTGGAGGCACGGAAATCAGCTGTGCTGAGTGAAACAGCTGAGCCAGAAAGAAGGAAATATAGGACAGTATAAGGTGGGGGCGGGGCCAGCTGATCATCGGAACTACCGGTTCGCCTGAACCGGTTCGAACCGGCAGGAGCCCACCACTGGCTTAGTTATTAACTGCTCTTTCTTCCTTTGCTCTCAAGACACCGGAGTCAATTTCTAGGAGCCATGAATTACCGTATTTTTCGGAGTATAAGATGCACCTACCTTTTTTGGTGAGGAAAAGAAGAAAAAGAAATCTGCCTCTGCCTCCCAGCAATTTTGCCTCGTTGCAGCAAACAGCAAACAGCCTGCTTTACTTTCATTTTCAGCATAGCTTGATTAGCACAAGGAGAAAAAAAATCGGCACCCAGGAATTTACCTCCTTGCAGCAAACAGCAGAGGCCCGCGCAAAAGAGCTGAGAGCAAAACAGCTGAGAGTCGGGAGGCCGATCCAATCAACTTGTGCTAATTATGCTGTGCTGAAGCTGAAAGGAGCGGTTTCTTCTTGCTGCTTGCTGCAAGGAGGTAACTGCTGGGAGGCAGAGGTCAAAGGGTGGGGGCCAGTGGGTGGGCCGGGCTACATTTGGTGTATAAGACACACCCAAATTTTCACCTCCTTTTAGGGGGGAAAAAGATGCGTCTTATACTCCGAAAAATATGGTAGGTCCTCTTCCATTTTATTAATGCTACAGTCTTCTGCATGCCTTTGATATTGGAATAGGATTTGAACTCCCAACCCTAGGAGCAAACCTACGGGCAATGATAATTAAACCGCCCTGTGACAACATAGATGGTTTGCGTCACAGGTTTGGGCTGAGCCCCCGTTTTTTTAAAATGTCTGGTTTAAGTATACTTCTTTCAGCTAATTCCACACACAGCATAGCAATAGCAATAGCATAGACTTATATACCGCTTCACAATGCTTTCCAGCCCTCTCTAAGCGGTTTACAGAGTCAGCCTGTTGCCCCCAACAAGCTGGGTCCTCATTTTACCCACCTCGGAAGGATGGAAGGCTGAGTTGATCTCGAGCCAGTGAGATTCGAACTATATTTTTAGAAGCTACCGTATTTTTTGGCGTATAAGACGCTCCGGACTACAAGACACACCTACCTTTTTTGGGGAGGAAAACAAGAAAAAAAAATCTGCCTCTGCCTCCCAGCAATTTTCTTCCTTGCAGCAAACAGCGGAGGCCGAAAATGGGGTGCGCGGAGGCAGCAATAGGCAATGGCAATCCCTGCAGCCTGAAACAGCTGATGATCGGGAAGTGATCCAACCGACAATCAGCTGCTTGTGCTAATCAGGCTGTGCTGAAGCTGAAACTGAAACGGGCTGTTTGCTGTTTGCTGCAAGGAGGCAAATTGCTGGGAGGCAGAGGCCAAAGGGTGGGGGCCGGCAGGTGGGCGGGGCTACATTCAGTGTATAAGACGCACCCAAATTCTCACCCTCTTTTAGGGGGGAAAAAGTGTGTCTTATACTCCAAAAAATACGGTACATTTAACAAGAATTATCTTGCCAGAAAAACCTACCTGGGGCTGGGATCACCGTCTCCAGATGCGTCTGGTCAAGTTTGAGCTTATCTCCGGAATTGGTCAATTTCACAACTGCCGTGTATTTGTCAATTACCTCCTGTAACATCAATTACACATGTATTAAATGAAAGGAAGAATTCATTGCTATTATTCTTAAATTGTCAGAAAGAAGTCACCGCCTGGATCTATTGTACAAACACATGAAACTGTAAATCATGGTTTATTTACACTTCATGATGCCTGCCCAAAAACAAACAAGCCACATGATGCATTAGCATGTTGTGAGAACCAGGTCATCATATTAAGCTATGCAGGTAGTCCTCGACTTATGACCGCAATTGGATGTGGCACTTCTGCTGAGAAGCAATGAGGTGGTTAAGTAAGTTGTATCTAATTCTATGACCTTTTGTTGTGTTGTTAAGCAAATTACCAGGGTTGTTAAGTGCAGTCCATGGGTGGGTTCTAAATTTTTTTACTACCGGTTCTGTGGGCGTGGCTTATTTTATGGGCGTGGCTTGATGGTCACGTGACAATTCTTTAGGATTGTCCCATTTGTTTTTGGAGGCACCGGTCTACCCATTTGTTTTTCGAGCGCACTGGTCTACCACCCCACTGCCTTTTAACACTGATCAGCTGTAGGGCGGCCCTTTGAAGCCCCACGGCAAGAGTTTAAACAGTTTTTTTCCTTCTAGCCAATCAGCTGGGACTCGGGAGGCAGCAATAGATTGGGGGCGGGGCCAAATAAAAGGTAAGAATAACGCGGGGGTGGTGGTGGTGGGAGGGCCCAGCTCCCGAACAAAGAGAACCGGTTTGGTGACATCATATCTTCATCGCTACCGGCTCGGCCGAACCGGGAGGAACCCACCACTGCTGCAGTCGTTATGTTTAATCCTGTTTTCCCCATTGATTTAAGCTTGTTGGAAGCCAATTCCGAAGGTCGAAATGGAGTTCACAAGACCCCACAATCCTGCACCTGTTGCGCAGGTAGTCCTCGACTTACGGCCACAATTGAGGCCAACATTTCTGTTGTTAAGTGAGACATTTGTTAAGTGAGTTTCTCACTTAACTCTGAATAACTCTGTTATTCAATTATTTCCCATCCTCTCTTGGAATATTTTCATTTTACGATCTTTCTTCCCACGGCTGTTAAGTGGATCACTGCCGTTGTTAAGTTAAATATTTTCATTTACACCTGCTCCAACCACCCTAACGCTTGTCCCTCTCTGTGACCAACATTTTGGGAAGGGCAGATAAAAGGGCTCTGTACTCACCTTAACGACGGCTTTTTTTTTATAGTATTTCTCGCCAAGTTTCTTGGTTATGATTTTGACCACAATTTCCTAGAAAAGAGATCAGGGTTAATGACATGCAAGAAGATCTCACTTCCTTTCTGCAGTTAATTCTTTCTGGAATAGAGTAAAATTGACGTGCAATGTTAAGATTTAGCCCCAGAAATAAAGTTTGTTCTTGTAAATGGGAAGGAGAACAGAGTCTCCTACACACACACACACACACACACACACACACACACACACACACACACACAAAGAGCACAGGGTCAGAAAAAAATACATGTTCCTTAATTTTCTAGTTTTCCAAAAGCAGGGATTCTGCTGTTGTTATAGCTGTCAGAACTAATCCTTCCATCCACCCATCCACCATCCACCCAAAACTGATGAAGCCTCTTGGATGAGAAGCGAAATGTCTTCAAGGAAAACCTCTTTTGAGGTTTTTTTTTTTTTTTTTTCTTGGATTTATATACCGCCCTACTCCCAAAGGACTCAGGGCGGTGAACAGCCAAAACGATAAAACACACAAACTACAAAATTTAAAAGACAATATAGAAACCCATTAAATGATTTGGCCCAAAACAAATTAAAACACCCCTAATGTTTTAAAACAAATTTAAAATTTACAATTAAAAGGGAAGTTAGGTCAGGCCAGACGGTTGAAATAAAAAGGTCTTGAGGGCATGGTGGAAGTGTTTTCCTTCTTTTCCTTGAAGAGGTTTCGCTTCTCATCCAAGAAGCTTCATCAGGTTCTGGACGAATGGTTGCTTTTGAAAAAGTGCCTTTGGGACAACCAGGACCTGGATGGCTGAGAATCTCACAGACATTATTGCTCTGCCGATTCTTCTTTGTCTAAGCATCCTAAATATAATAACTCAAATAATACAGGTAGTCCTCGACTTAACAACCACAACCGGGGAGTAGACTTTTCCGTTGCTAAGCAATGCAGCTGTTGAGTCGTGCTTGGTTTTTACAACTTTTTTTTTGTTAAGTGAATCACTGCAGTTGTTAAGAAAAAATCATGCGGTTGTTAAATGAATCTGGCCTCCCTCCAACTGACCTTTGCTTGTTAAAAGCCAGCGGGGAAGGTCGCCAATGGCGATCACATGACGCCAGGACACTGCAACAGTCATATTGTAAGTACATGCCAGTTGCCAAGCGCCCAAATTCCGATCATGTAATTGTGAGGATGCTATGATGGTTATAAGTGTGGGGATCGGTTGTAAGTCACTTTTTTCACTGCCGTTTTACTGAACGGTCATTAAACAAATGGTAATAAGTCAAGGACTGCCTGTAGTCTGCCAGCTAAACAGGAACCTGATAGAGATAAATTGAAACAGGGGGAAAAGAAAACCTTGGACCTGAACATAACAGTTAAAGGGGATACATAAAAATCTACCCACTTATTCCCCGAAGCTACATCATGACAGATTCCGGACAATCACTTGGATACTTACAGGTTGCAACCAGTAGTCCATTCGGGCAGACTTTTTCTTCTCTTCTTCAAACTAGGAAAAATAAAAGCAAAAAACTCACATGTATTAATTCAATTCGGCCGTGCAGGTAAGATCAACTAGAGATAATATCCGGAAAATATCCTACCATACTAAAAACTTTTATATAATGCATTTTGTGACTTCCAGAAAAATCAGAAGTAACTGGAATATGGAGAGTATATTCTTAATGATAGAATAACAGCTTTATTGTCACTTTGAATGCACACTAATCGGCATAAATTAAAGTGAAATTTCATCACTTAGAGCTCTCAAAGAGTCACCACCTCCAACATACACGGCTAAATAAATAATACAAAATTGTGGGTGTGCGTGCGTGTGCATGTGCATCTATCTATCTATCTATCTATCTATCCTCGTATTAACTAGATTGTGGAATTCTTACTTTGCTTGTCAGAAGGTTGTAAACTGTATGTATGTATGTATGTATGTATGTATGTATGTATGTATGTATATATGTATGTATGTATGTATGTATGTATAAAGTGTTTCTGAGACACCTGGTCTACCCCAACATGTGGGAGGAGGCCTTCTGCTCCCTTTTGCCTTTCAGCTCCAATCCAGGAGCCCTCAAGCAAGTTCGAATCCAAGTAAGGGTATGGCTAGCTGATGAAAGCTAAAAAGCTTGAAATAAATTTGGTATAAAATGGTTTGTCATGAATGGGACTGCTTGAGGGCTCCTGGATTGGAGCTGAAAGGCGAAAGGGATGCAGTATGCTCCCTCCCACATGTTGGGATAGACCAGGTGTCTCGGTAAACACTTAATCTTTCCCCTGGCTCAAGCTGATGAAGGGAGGAGAACCTGTGGCTCAGAAGGTTAATTCAACTGCCTAACATGCAGGAAGCCCAAGTTCGAATCCAAGTAAGGCTATTAACTAGATTGTGGAATTCTTACTTTGCTTATCAGAAAGTTGTAAACAGGGATCGCATGACCTTGGGACATAGGAATGGTCTTAAGTATGAATCATCCTTTAAAAGGATGCCCAGAATTGGATGCAAGACTCAAGGTGTGAGCCAGCCAATGTAGGTGATCGAATGATTACTAGCTAGTTGGCAATGTTCTAGTAAACCACTAAATTAGGAGTTGCATTTTGTGATCCCCTTGACTTTGATCTTTACTATTTTCTTATGAGCAGAAGACTCCACCACCACCCCAAATATTACCAGTAGTCCTCCCTGCCTCACATAGGGGCACCTTGGCAAAATAGGAAAAACATTCTCTGCTGACAGAATAAAATTTTCAGTGTTGAACTGTAGAGTCCTGAGTGCTCAGACATGTTTTTTGCTAGCATTGATGATATTACCTAGTTGGGTCACGAAACGTCTGCGAGAAAACAACCAAGCTCAGTGAGCACCAAGGACCCCATAGTCCTCCTTCTCCTTGTCTCCAGAAATCCATTCCCATCTAGCACTGATGATGTTACCTAACTGGGTAATGAAAGGTCTGCAAAAAAAATCAACCAAGCTCAGGGAGCATCAAGGACCCCACAAATGTTCTCTGGTTATCTCACATCCCCCGCCCATTGTTCCTGCTCATAATAATCACCAATCAGAATGTATCAGTAACTGGACCTCCACCACACCTCTATGATCTCATCAAGGGCGGATTTTTTCTTCCTCTTCTCCTTAATTTGCTTTGACGTCGGAGGGATTTCTTTCCGCTTAACGGGGAGCAGCGCTCCTGGCGGCTTCAGCACACTGGCGCCAAGCAAGCTGGAGAAAAGAGACCTGGGTTAATAGTGGCAGGGAGCCTGTCCAGATGTGAGGACGCGATTTTTTTTTTAGTCCCCCTAGGGTGCTTTTTTTCCAAGAGGCAACGGGACCTTCTGGTTTTTCTTTGAAGACGTTTCGCTTCTCATCCGAGAAGCTTCTTCCGCTCTGACCGAATGACAGGGAATGGTGGGATTCAAATTTTTTTACTAGCGGTTCTGTGGGCGTGGCTTGGTGGGTGTGGCATGTCTTGGTGGGTGTGGCAAAGGAAGGATACTGCAAAATCTCCATTCCCTCCCCGCTCCAGGGGATGGATACTGCAAAATCTCCATTCCCTTCCCGCTCCAGGGGATGGATACAGCAAAATCCCCATTTCCTCCCGATCAGCTGGGACTTGGGAGGCAGAGAATAGATGGGGTCGGGGCCAGTCAGAATTTTTACTACCGGTTCTCTGAACTACTCAAAATTTCCGCTACCGGTTCTCCAGAACTGGTCAGAACCTGCTGAATTACCACCTCTGGAATAGAAGGATTTATACTCCTTGCAGACAGTTGGTGATTTGCATTCTTTCAGTGAGTTGTTGAGGCCACTTGGAGGTTTATCTGTGCCCTCAGGGTCACCTGAGTAGTGCAAGAAGGAACTGTCCATTTATGTCAAAAGAGGACATCAATGTCAAAATTGAACAGCCCTCTCTCAACAGAGGAGGAGGGATTATTGATTGATTGATTGGTTCGATTTACATGCCGCCCTTTTCCGAAGACTCAGGGTGGTTTACAATGCGTTAAGCAATAGCCTTCATACTTTTGTATATACCTGCTTAGTAGGGCTTTCGCCCCCCTCCCCAAAGCGGTGTTCTTTTTTATACAAAGTCAGTTTATTGCCCCCACAATCCGGGTCCTCATTTTACCTACCTCGAAAGGATGGAAGGCTGAGTCAACCTTGAGCCTGGTGAGATTCGAACTTGCAGTAATTGCAGGCAGCTGGTGTTACTTAACAGTGCTTTAGTCTGCTGCGCTACCAAGGCTCTTGGTACATCATCTATCTCCAGTCCTTTCATCCGTTCCAAGAAGGCTCCACACCCATTAGCACCACTCAGGTGACCCTGAGGACACAGATAAACCTCCAGGTGGCCTCAACGACCCTCTAAAAGGATGCAAACGACCAGCTGTGTCTGCAAGGAGTATAAATCCTTCCATCCCTCACCATCCAGTTAGAGCTGAAGAAGCTTCTTGGATGAGAAGCGAAACATCTTCAAAAGAAAAAAACCAAGAAAGTCTTGAAAAAAGCACCTTTGGGACAACCATGACCTGGAGGTCTGAAAGTCTCCATAGAGACTTAGTCCCCTAGTAGGGAAAATGGCTTAAGATTTCCTTCCCGAGTCAAAGAATAACACAAACGCAGGGAACCTGAGCTGGATCGGATTCAGATGAGACTCAAATAATCTCCTTACCGTGTGTTTGGGGAAGGGAGAGAGAGGGGACAGGAAATTCCCAGAAGCAGCGCACTAGTGTTGTGGCCCGTCAGCGGCCTGTGCAGCTAGTAGCTGATTCCGACAGCGAGGAGGCTGGTGTGGTGCTGCGCCAGCAGCCTGTGCAGCTGGCATCCGAGTCGGACAGTGAGGAGGCTGGAGAAGATGTGGTGCCAGAGGCGGGGATTCAGCCAGGGCCTTCAGAACCTCCAGAAGCTTCCATGGGTGAAGAGGAAGAAGAGGAGGAGCCTCTTCTCGATGCACGGGCGCGCAGAGCTGCCAAAAGGCAGGAATGGCTCCTCAGGAGGAGGTCTCCTCGAGAGTAAGGCTTGGGGCTAACTGGCCACTCCCGTAGCCTATTTAAGGAAGGACGACCACTGAGGCAATTTGCAGGGAACAACTTTGTTCACTCTCCTTCGTATCCGGATCTTAGTTCTCTTATCAGTTTCCTGCAAATTGCTTCTGGGCTTCCTGCCAACCCTAGTAAGATTACGATTATTTATTCTTTGGATTCTTGTAGGCTGTTAAGAAAATTAATTAACAGCCTTTGTTTGAAAAAGACTGATTTAATTTAGTAAACTAAGGTTTGTACAGACTTTGTGTGTGCTGCGTTCTTTGGGGTCCGTAGCTGGGGCAGAACAACCAGCCCTTCGAGGGTTTACAGGTAGTCCTCAATTTACAACAGTCCGTTTAGTGACCGACATTACAACCAACCAATACTACTTGCCTGCCTTTGGGTTGCTGTGCTGCAGCAGCTGAAGTGCTTGCTCCTTTGTTCAAGTTGAAGGTCACTAAAAGGAAAAAAAAATAAAATAAAAAAGATTGCTCATTTCTTTCGTACCACATTTGGGGTTTGTGGACGCAGTGGTGCGGTGGCCTCACAATCAGGAGGCTGTGAGTTCGATCCTAGGTAGAGGAAGTGTTCTGTCCCTGTCCCACTCACGCACCCCCACAGACGGCCCGGAGTTAATAAGCCACACGACAAAATTCTTTGAAAATAAAGCTGGCAGCAACCCAGTGGCTAGCTGCCAATTCAGACTTTACTCACACAAAACAAAGATTAGACTGTCAGCATTCCGATAAAACAGGCAGTGTCAACAATACAAGGATTAATCCAAATGCAGTCCAATAAAGCAGGCAAAGTCCAGTAACACAGAGATCATGGAGTATTTCTAGTTTTTGCTCATCACAAACTGAACCGGCCACCACACCCACATTTATACCCTGTGGGGTGTGGTCCAGTGACTCAGCTAATCTCTGGCATGCCTTCCCCTCTGCTGCGCACGCTTCTCCCTGCGCCTCTGGCGAGGGTCCATCTCCTTCGTCGCTGTCCACCTGTGGCTGCGGGGACGTGCTTGGCTCTGAGCCTATCTTTTGGCCTTCAGTGTCCTCCGGAGGCATTGCCAGAGAGGAGGGTCCTGGAGAGGGAGGCCTTGCCAACTCCTCTCCCTCACTCTCAGAATCTGCATCTGTCGATAGCTCAGGCTCAGGCAACGGAGCCACAACAGGCAGATAGTTCTCTTTCTGGGCACAATGAGAATATATCTGCCGAACAAAACTCCGCACTGGCAACAGGAAGGGCATCCGGCCAGTAAACAGCTCCATTCAGATGCCCAGACTCCACCCCCTCAAGGGATTATGGGGTCGTTAAAAGATGATGATGATGGGGTTTGTGGACACAAGGCGAAGGAGGGCTGTGGGATCCTTGGTGCTTTCGGAGCTTGGTTTTTCTCGCTGACATTTCATGACCCAACTAGGTAACATCATCACTGCTAGATGGGAGTGGGGTTTGTGGAGACAAAGAGTCCATACATTCAAATAATTTTACCCAAAAAACCCCAAACCCCCAATACTGCCAATATTCTGCGATATTCTGCGATATTAACTTAATAATTTTAGGGTCCTGGTTTAGGACTTGAATTGTTAAGTCTCCACGAGTCTTAAGACTGTGAACCTTACAGATAACAATTTACCTTTTTCCTCCTCGTTTTCTCTGTTTAGTTCAGTGAAGACCGGCTCTTCCTGCAACGACAGAAAAGAACTAAGGATGGCTGAACCCAACAGGAAAGCACAGACATCATATCACAAAGTGACGAGTTGGGTTCGTCGCAATCAAGAAGGAATTAAGAAAAGTTTGGTTTGACCAAATGCTCCTGGGAATAAATCTAGGCGTTGTGGCGCAGTCTGGGGTCTGACTTATAGCAGGGACAGACAGACAGACAGACACACACACACACACACACAAACCAGTGGTGGGTTGCTACCGGTTTGTCCCGGATCGGGCAAACCTGTAGCGGAGGCAGCAGGAGGCTCCTCCCACTCTCCTGGACGCTTCTGCAGATGCACAGAAGCATTGCGCGCGTATGAGCACGCGCCCGCTCACAAGCGAACTGGAAACCCGCTACACACACACACACACACACACACACACACAAATTGTAAAAAGCAACAGCTGGGGGACATATTAAGCTACTAATCTTATTCGATGATCCACTTTGCTGATCCCGTCTCTCTCATCCACATAATAGAGGCAGTCCTCAACTTACAACCAATTTGCTTAGTGACTGTTCAAAGTTACAGCAGCACTGGAAAAAAAGGGAGTTTTTGACACTTAATGACCGTTGCCGCATCCCCATGGTAGGTTCCTCCTGGTTCGGCCGAGCCGGTAGCGGTGACGATATGATGTCACCGAACTGGTTCTCTTTGTTCGGGAGCTGGGTCCTCCCACCCACCCGCGTTATTCTTACCTTGTATTTGGCCCCACCCCCAATCTATTGCTGCCTCCTGAGTCCCAGTTGATCGGCTGGAAGGAAAAAAAAACTGTTTAAACTCTTGCCGCGGGGCTTCAAAGGGACGCCCTACAGCTGATCAGTGTTAAAAGGCAGTGGGGTGGTAGACCGGTGCCTCCAAAAACAAATGAGTAGACAGGTGCCTTCAAAAAGAAATGAGTAGACCAGTGCCTTCAAAAACAAATGAGTAGACCGGTACAGCTCTGCAAGCAGTTAAAAGCCTGGTAGACCAGTACCTCTGCTAAATCCTCAAGAATTGTGATCATCAAACCACGCCCACAAAATAAGCCACGCCCACAGAACCGGTAGTAAAAAAATTTAGAACCCACTCCTGACACATCCCCATAATCACGTGCAGGGGTAGGTTTCACTTACCTTTACCACCGGTTCGCTGCATGCACACTCACTTTGCCTGGCCTCGAAAATGGGCCTAAATAGCACGATTTGGAGCCAGGGCAGGTGGGCAGACCCACCAGTGATTGAAAACGACCGGTTCGCCTGAACCGGTGCGAACCGTCTGAATACCACCTCTGGGTACGTGATGAAAATTCAGACGCTTGGCAACTGGCATGTACTTATGACGGTTGCAGTGTCCTGGGTGTGTGTGTGTGTGTGTGTGTGTGTGTGTCACGCGATCGATCCCCTTCAGTGACGTTCTGACAAGCAAAGTCGACGGGCAAGCCAGATTCGCTTAACAACCGTGTTACTAACTGAACAACTGCCGTGAGTCACTTCACAACTGCGGCCGGGACGCTCGTCAAATGGCGCAAAATTAAACAACTGTCTTTGCTTAGTGGCAGAAATTTTGGGCTCAATTGCGGTTGTAAGTCGAGGACTCCCTGCGTTAAATTTTCGAATACGGGACTAACGATGATCAAAATGGCAAAATCACCAAGTATCAAATATCCTTTTGCCCCCACCTGATCTTTTCCCTCCAAGCCCCTCCTGACTTGCTGTTCGATGAATCTTGCCGTTTTTTCTTCATCGTCCAAGTCCTGTTTTTTCTTTTTTTCCTGTTCCTGCTGCCTCCGGATGGTCTCGGGGTCTCGGTCAATGTACTGGATGTACCAGCCTTTGGGCGTTTCGTCGACTTTGCAAAGGCCTTAAAGAAGCATATTGCCATGGTTAGAACCTCCATTTTAGGAGGAATAAGGAAGGAAGTTATAGAATTGTAGCCCACCCCCCAAAATTGGAAGCCCCTCTGTAAAGAATATCCTTCGATTAACCTCAGATCCTGATGAGGAAAGAGACACAGCCATGCCGGCTGCTTGGCAATGGGTTGGCAATGGCTTACCACCCCTGTTTCTCAACCTTGGGAACTTGAAGAGGAGTGGACTTCAATTCCCAGAATTCCCCAGCCGGTGTTGGGGATGTTTTTGTCACAGGGACTCTGGCCTACAGACTTGGATCTCTAGATCGGCTCCTATATCCAAGCACTAAGTAGGGGGGGGGGAGAAGGGGGAAACCTTTCAAAGTTAACACAGCACTAAAAAAGGTGACTTAGGACCGGATTCAGCCGGTTCGGACAAACCAGTAGTTAAATTGCTGGCTGGCCCCTCCCTTCCCCAGGATCCCCACATGCCTCATTTTGGCTTCCAGGTAAGTGCAGGGAGACCTTCTAGGCCCAAAATGGGGCGGGGGGGCGTGGTACCCCCTCCCCCCCCGGTGGCCTGTTTTCACTCCCAGGAGGGAGGCTTCCTAGGCCTAAAATGGGGCATGGGGGGACCAGCATGTTCCCCCACGTGGCCCGTTTTTGCTCCCACGGGGATGTAGGCCGAGTGCTGCCCTGTCACACCCACCCAGCCGGTCATTTGGACTCTTTGCAGCATCCCCATGGTCACGAGATCAAAATTTGGATGCTTGGCAACTGGTTCATATTTTGTCCCTGGGGGGGGAGTCATGTGATCCCCATTTTGTGACCTTCTGACGAGCAAAATCAATGGGGAAACCGAATTCACTTAACAACAGTGGCAAGGAGTTTCGTAAAAACGGGACAAAACTCACTGAACAAATGCCTCGCTTAACAACAGAAATGTTGGGTACGACTGTGGTCGTACGTCGAGGGCTACCTGTGCAGCATTCAGATAACCACTCCTCCCCTCTGCCTCACAACGCGCTTAAAAAAAAAAGTAAATGTTAAAATATTGATATATTGATAAGGTTTAAGTCCTTTCATTCGGCAAGCTCTTCTATTTAGCGAGTGGCTCAGCTGCCTCCAGCACCCCAAATCCTCCCACGAGGAAGTGGGGGTCCATACAAGGAGAACTTTTTACCTTCCCTCCCGAGCCACTTTGTAAAATCCGTCAGAGTTTCCCACTGCGTAGCGTTCATATGGATGTGTTCCCGATGGCTGATATATTCATTATATACGATATTGTTGTGGACTCTCTTTGTTCCTAGGAAGAGAGAGAGAGAGAGAGAGAAAAAAAAACCACCCCTCTTAATTAGAAGCATGGAGTTAGCTAAAACATTTCCACGTTAACTAAAGAAGCATCGTTTTTCCATTGTGGGACAGCATCTTCCCGAAAATTGGTACGGTGCCCACTCTACAATTCTTCCAAAAGTTTTTAAAATGTGGCTTGGCTTCCAGGCCCGGAATTCAGGGTAGATGCCCATTCTGGGAGTTTTTTCCTGTTAGGCTGGGATATGTTTAATTGTTTTTGTCTTCTGGATGTACATGATTTTTACTATTTCAGGGGGTGGTGGTGGGTTTCTTTGTTTTTATTCTAAGGCATTCAATGTTTATGGAGATTCTGAGTTATCCAGGTCAGGATTGTCCCAAAGGTGCTTTTTTCAAGAGGCAACTGGACTTTATGTTTTTTTTTTCTTTTGAAGATGTTTCGCTTCTCATCCAAGAAGCTTCTTCAGTTCTGACTGGATGGTGGAGAACAGGAGGATTTATATTCCTTACAGACAGCTGGTCATTTGCATCCTTTCAGAGAGTTGTTGAGGCACTGAAGGTTGCCTGATAAACGCAGATAAACCTCCAAGTGGCCTCAACGACTCTCTAAAAGGATGCAAATGACCAGCTGTCTGCAAGGAGTATAAATCCTTCCATTCCCCACCATCCAGTCAGAGCTGAAGAAGCTTCTCGGATGAGAAGCGAAATGTCTTCAAAAGAAAAACCAGAAAGTCCAGTTGCCTCTTGAAAAAAAAGCACCTCTAAGCCAGTTTGTTTTGGGAACCGGGCACTGGTGGCAGACTGATTTAAGTACAGTATTGCAGGCAAACACTGCCCATTGCCAAGAGTTCGATCCTGACGGGGTTCAAGGTTGACTGGGTCTTCCATCCTTCCGAGGTCGGTAAAATGAGGAGCCAGATTGTTCAGGGAAATATGCAAATAAGGCATCTACATTGTAAATTGCCCAGAGAGTGCTATAAAGTGATTGAGATGGGGTGAGGTGGGGTATATAAGCCTAAATGTCCCTGTTAGTCTCCAAATCTAATACGAACAAACCAACAAATGAAATTTACCGAATCTTCTCCGGAGAAGTTCTAGGAAATCATTCCGGAATTCCCTAGAAGAATATGAAAGAGAGTGTTACTGTGAGGTAAACCAGACAGAAATCATGACCGGATGAGATAATTCTACTTTTATTATAAGGCTACATCACAGAATCTTGCGAGCCTGAACTATACCGTATATTTTGGATTATAAAATGCACCAAGATTTCGAAGAGGTAAACAAGAAAAGTTTTTGCCCTCCCCAGCCCCCAGGAGCACTCTGCAGGCCTCCCAAATCCTCTTCGCGCCCCATTTTTGTGAAAAACACTTGTTTTTAGGGAAAACAGGATGCGCGGGGCAGGGTTTCAGGAGGTGTATTCGGTGTATAAGACGCACCAACATTCCCCCCCTCTCTTAGGGGGGAAAAAAGTGCATCTTACACTCCGAAAAGTATGGTAGTACAATTCTCTCCCCCCCCCACCCCCCGGCTTCTTTACAGCCTGGGAAACTAGGGAGGGTCTCTTCTGAACCTTTTTCTCCAGTTTCTCCAGTACTTCTGGTTTCTAACAAAAACAGTCATTCTGGACAATGGCTTCACTGAACAACCATTACAAAAAGGGTTCTAAAATCAGGTTTGGTCATGTGGCGATCCTGCTTAACGACCAGCATGACTTCCGACTGTAATTTCAGGCTTAATTATGGTCATAAGTTGAGGACTATCTGTAACACTAATTGCATCAGTTCAATTTCTATTATAGCCCTTGAGTAACACAGAAACTTTGTCAGTCGTAAACAGAAAGACACTCTCTCTCTCTCTCTCTCTTTTTTTTTTTCTCTCTCTCTCTCTCCCTTCCCCACCTCCCCTTCTCTCTATATAAAGCAACATGAGACTTAAATATCTGTTTTGTAAAAAGGATATTCTGGTCCCAGAATGGAGGATAATTTGATGGACAATGAATTGAGGAGAGCCTTCACTAAGCTTCATTTTTAAACAACAACCTCCTCCCACGCCTACAAAATTCTAGAAAATTCTAAAAATCTGTTTGGACAAATAACCACAAGTGCTTGAGGCACTTCTCAACTGTCTTATATTTCCAATTTAATAGACTGCAGCCATAATACCGCATAAATTTCAGCAGACGCAGATCATAAAACGCAAGTGCCAAGTTACAGGCCAAACTCACTCTGAAAAGTAATCCATGAATTGCTGAGGGTTTTCGGATGCCAGGAGCAGTTGTCGCTGGTGAGATTCGGACATGCAGTGACATTTAAAGCCATTCTGGAAAAAACAAGGCGAGAAACAAAATAAAGTCAAAATTCCCCAGCAAACCTCGAACAGGTATCACAAGGAGCTAAAACATTTAAAAAAAAAAGGATAATGGAGACAAAATAATGCAACTGGCAAGGAACTACCAAAAGAAAAAGATATTTACCCCCAAACATGGGAGCAATCCTAGATACATCCAAAGTAGCATACCCAGATATTAGATTTAGTTGCTTACTGAAGTCAACTAGGCTAAATAATTAAATAAGTCAACCTCATTTAAATTCAATCCAGACAGTCGTCCTTTTTCACATAACACATTTAGCTTTGTCAGCTAAAGATCTAATAACCAGTATTCAGCCAACAAACTAAATTAAGTGTTTTGTGTCCCAGAATATGGTACCAAAGCCACACCATGAATCTGGGTTTACTGTCCAGTGCATTGTAGAATCCCAGAAAATGAATGAATTCAGACATAAGCGTCTAGTCCCCTTTCATGGGTCGACTAGAAGACCTCCAAAGGTCCCTTTTGACTCCGTTATTCTATTCCATTCTTTTTATCATTGGTCTTAAACTGATGGGGGAGTCTTTGGTCTTAACACCATCTCTTGCAAACTTGTCCACTTTAAAATAGGTGAACTTCAACTCCCAGAATTTCCTAGCCAGCACGGCTTCCCCAGCAAGGGCTGGCTTGGGAATTCTGGGAATTGAAGTCCACTCGTCTTAAAGTGGCCAAGTTTGAATAAACAGTGGTTTAATACAAGACTAATGAAAAGGACTCCAATCTCACAGAAGGCTGGCTGAGAACGCAAAAAATCATATTAACGTATATTGTCCAAGACTCGAAAGGAAAAACCACAGTGATGAAACCTGAAAAACACAACCTGCTTCATCACTGGAGGATTTTAAGAAGAGACTGGACAGCCCCTTGTCTGAAATGGTATAGGGGTTGGGCTAGAGCAGGGGTAGGCAACCTGCGGCTCTGGAGCCGGATGTGGCTCTTTCATCCTTCTGCTGCGGCTCCCTATCGCCAGTCAGCTCCACAATATATTGATAATTGATACGGCTTTCAGTTAGGATAGGTAGAGGAAAAAGGACATTGCGCTAGGAGGAGACACTATGGTGGGGGCGACCACACTTCTGGTTGGCTCCAGAATTGAATGGGGGGGGGGGCTTCCGGTTAGGGTCTTTCTGGCTCTTTGAGTGTTTAAGGTTGCCGACCCCGGGACTAAAGGATCTCCAAGATCCCTTTGTGTTGTGTTGTACTCTATTCTAAAGAAGAGATAAAACATATGAAGAACGGTTGCAGGAATTCGGTACGGCTAGTCTAGAGAAAAGAAGGACTGGGGGGGACGGGACAGGATAGCAGCATTCCAGTATTTGAGGGGCTGACACAAAGAGGAGGGGGGGTCAGTTTATTCTCCAAAGCACCAGAAGGCAAAACAAGAAACAATGGGTGGAAACTTATCAAGGGGAGAAGCAACCTGGAATGAAGGAGAAAGTGAGGACAATTAACCAGTGGAACTGCTTGCCACCAGAGGTTGCAGGTGTTCCATCACTGGAGGTTTTTAAGAAGAGACTGGACAGCCACTTGTCTGAAACGGCATAGGGTCTCCTGCTTGAGCAGGGGGCTGGACTAGATGACCTCCAAGGTCCCTTCCAGCTCTTATCCTGATTCTAACTTCATGCTGGAGCAAAATCACCCTAAGACAGCCAAAATCCGACAGAGATTCGTGAATGAGGACCTAAAAGGCCACCCGAGTCGAGGGCTTCTTCTAGGGCGCCCAGATAGACTGCCCCTGCCCCTGGAGGCTCGCTCTGTACCTCGTCCCGGCACTGCTTCTGGCACATCTGGCAATACCAGCGCAGCTTCTGCAGCCCCTTCGACTTGATGCGGTTGGCGATGGCCTTGGGGCTCAAGAAGTCCGTCTTCCCCATAGCGAAGGAGGCGAAGGAGCGGCGACACACGAAACCGGCAACTGCGACCCTCGCTTCCGGACTCTGAGCGGCGGCGGAAGAGCTGACCGGAAACGAAAGTGTTGTCACCGGAAACGGAAATGATGTGACAGGAAATCGTCATCGTTGACCTTTTTTTTTTAAAGAAGGGCTTTGACGCCGCTCTAGCTCTCCCAATGAATGAACCGGGAATCACTGTGTAGAGTCTGTCCCGGCCGGTGAAATCTTAATTAAAAGATTTATAGTATCTATATTTACTATATCTATACATCAACCATGTTAGGAGTCGCTTAAAGCAGAGGTGGGCAACTATGGCCCTTTTATGACTTGTGGACTTCAACTCCCAGAATTCCTGAGCCAGCCATGTTACCTCAGGAATTCTGGGAATTGAAGTCCACAAGTCATAAAAAGGGCCACCTCTGACTTAAAGTATCTATTTTTTATTCTGTCTAGGCATCAACCTTAGTTAGGGGGTCGCTCTAGCACGTCAGCTTTGTGACCTTAGTTCTCTTTGGAGGACCGCTCAGGTGCTGGCCATCTCAATGTCCGAGAAACCATAGAGAAGAATGCGAGGGGGAGGGCGGTCCATCCGGAAGCCGTCACAGCTCTTCCTTTTTTCGCTTCCGAAACCCGGTTCAGGGCGAGGGGAAGCGCGGCGCATGCGCGGTGCGAGCGCCCTGACCTTCAGCAGCGGCTGCGAGCCGGCGGGCGATCGGACGAAGCTGCGGGAAGGAGCCGGATCGGCGCCGCCGCTGCTGCTGCTGCTGCTCTTCTTGACGGTGCCCAGGCTCAGCCTCGGGGGTACTTCGGGGGAAAGGAGAGCGGGCGGGAAGGGGAGTGGAGGAGCGGGAGGCTCTCTGCACATGCTCAGAGGCACTCTCGCCTCCCTAGGAGTCTTAGTGGGGGGGACGGGGGGGGGGAAGCCAGCTGTCCAGGGACTGAGAGCTGCCTGGAGTTTCCCTGGGGATTTCTTTCCACGTGGCTGAAAGCCCATCATCCCTGGCCCATGCCCTTGGGGGCAGTGGCTGATGGGTGCTGGAGTCCAGCAGCATGGGAGCTCCAGGGAATCCGTGAACCCCTCCTCCCCAACCATAAGAGGCTCAGTTATAAAAGTTAATTGGGGTTGGGGGTGGGGATTATTATTATTATTATTTTTTGGCATTCAGTAGGAATCTGATTTTACCTGATCCACTTGTCCCAGAAAATCTAACTTTAATTTAATTGAACTCTTAATTTAAATTAAATGAATTTAAATTAATTCATTCAATTCATTTAATTTAATGCTAACCTACCTTCTGTGGGCCTCGCTCTGTAGCTTACCCTGTTTCTCCTGAAAATAAGATCCAACCGGAATAAAAATAAGTCCTAGCAGGATTATTATTATTTTTTTTGCATTCAGTAGGAATCTGATCTTACCTGATCCACTTGTCCCAGAAAATGTAACTTTTTTTTTTTTTAATTTGATTTATATGCCGTCCTTTCCGGAGACTCAGGGCGGCTTACAATGCGTTAAGCAATAGCCTTCATACTTTTGTATATTTATACAAAGTCAGCTTATTGCCCCCACAAACTGGGTCCTCAATTTACCCACCTTAGAAAGGATGGAAGGCTGAGACAACCTTGAGCCTGGTGAGATTCGAACTTACAGTAATTGCAGACAGCTGGTGTTAATCACAATGCTTTTAGTCTGCTGAGCTACCAGGCCCGTTTAAATTTTGCTTGGTTTTAATTCCAACTTAAATTCTAACACTAAATTAAATTAAATGAATTTAAATTAATTAATTCATTTAATTTAATGCTAACCTACCTTCTGTGGACCTTGCTCTGTAGCTTACCCTGTTTCTCCCGAAAATAAGACCCAACTGGAATAAAAATAAGTCCTAGCAGGATTTTTCAGGATGCTCGTAATATAAGCCCTACCCCCCCAAAATAAACCCAGTTAAGATCGTCAGCCAGACGGAGGCGTTTAGTACTGTATTTTCCCCCAAAATAAATCCTAACTGGAAAATAAGCCCTAGCATGATTTTTCAGGATGCTCGTAATATAAGCCCTACGCATAAAATAAGCCCCGATTAAGATTGTCAGCCAGATGGGTGCATTTAATACTGCATTTCCTCCCAAAATAAGACCTGATCAGAAAATAAGCCCTAATGCGTCTTTTGGAGCAAAAATTAATATAAGACCCCGTCTTATTTTTGGGGAAACACAGTAAGAGGTCCCTAGCAGGGGTGTCCCAAATGTGCTTTTTTTCAGGCGGCAACTGGACTTCCTTTTCTTTTTCTTTTGAAGACATTTCGCTTCTTATCCGAGAAGCTTCTTCAGCTCTGACTGGAATGGGGGGTGGGGAGGGAGAAAAAACAAGGACTGAAAATCTCCATAGACTTTTTTTTTAGCGATGTCCTTTGGGATGAACCCCCCCTTCGAATAGTGCCGGGGGAATACAAACGGATTTCCAGAAAAAAAAATTGCGGACTACAGGACCCATGGGGCACCTCAGTTTGAGATGCAGACAGCACAGCCTCATCCCCATCAGCCTGTGCTCAACAGTGAATGGACGCATGGCAAAAAAAAACAACAACATCCTACGGCCAAGAAAGGCTGCAGAATGAGGAAAAAACACACAAGTTGATCTCCTCTGATGGGAATATTTAGGAAAGGATCGCCACAAATGTCTTTTTTCTTTTTTAATTTTATATCTTGGATGTCAGATCTGTATCTTGAATTTTAATGCGTTTACAGAGAAGAGGGCCCGAGTTCCGTTCAGGAATTATATTTTATTTATTTATTTATTTATTTTATTATATTTCTATACCGCCCTTCTCCTGCGGGACTCAGGGCGGTATACAGCCAGGATAAAACATAGCATATAAAATTTAAAAACATTTTAAAAAACAATTAAATAATTTTGGCCCGAATTTAAAACAACCCAATTAAAACCGAAATTCGATTAAAAAAACTGATTTTAAAACTGATTAAAAAACTAAATAGCATATTGCCGCCAACAATCTGGGTCCTCATTTTACCCACCTCGGAAGGATGGAAGGCTGAGTCAACCTTGAGCCGGTGAGATTTGATCCGCCGATCTGCTGAACTAGCAGTCAGCTGAAGTAGCTGCAGTACTGCACTCGAACCACTGCGCCACCTCGGCTCTTTATATCCCAAGTAAACATTCTTTAGAAAATGAATGCTCTATTGCAGCTGTTCTATATTGTTGTTAACTTTAGCAACCGAAGGAGGCATATTTGGTATAAAATATGGAAATATGTGTTTCTTTTTTTTTTTTCCAGGATCCAAGTTAGGAACATGGCGACTCTGAAAGACAGTAAGCGTTCAATGTTATATTTCTTTCTCTGAGATAGTCTGAAATCATGACTGCATCTTCTTTTTAAAGTTCCATGTAAGAATGTACCGTGTTTCCCCGAAAATACGACCTATTCAGAAGTCAGTCCTTCAATCTAGCTTGATTTTTACACGGGTACCCAATATAAGCCCTGCCCCCCACAAAAAAGCCCTAATTAAGATCCCTCTGTTCTGACCTAGACTTCCTGAGACAGTAAAAAGCACACAATTAGTCCCAAAAACCCTCTTTTTATTTCAATTCTGTTCATTCACAGCCTGTGATGAATCACAAATTGTTTGTAAAGAGTCCGACAGAAGTCTGCCACAGTCCTTCGGGATAAGGCTGATAAGCACCCACCTTTATCTCCCTTGACACGCTGCCAAAGATCTAATTGCCAGTTAGCTTTGCAAGGCCACATGGAGCACAGTCAAAACGGAGCTTCAGAGTTTAAACCAACCAGAACAAACAAAGTTGCTTCCTGCAAAGGCTCACGTGCCTTTGCTCCTCCTTTATGTCTTATGGGAGGGGCCAATCATCTCCAAGCCTTACTCCTGAGTCGCCCCTTTTGTCTTAATTGTTCTTGCCTTCTGGCAGCTCTGCGCCTCTGCGCACTGGGAACAGGCTCCCCCTGTTCCTCTGCCTCGCTGACGTCACACTCTGGAGGTTCCGGAGGCAGCGCATAACTCCCAGGTGGCCTTGGACCCATCTCTGCCTCCGGCGCAGAGCCCTCCGAGCCTTCCCCAGACTCCAGGACTGGCCCATGTTCCTCCCCAACCTCCTCACTGTCCGACTCTACTGCCAGCTCCGCAGGCTGCCGGCGAACCACAACACCTACCCTTTCCCCCCCAAAATAAGACATCCCCTGATAATAAGCCCAATCAGGCTTTTGAGTGCATGGCAATAAGGCCAAGCACTTATTTCGGGGTTCAAAAAAATATAAGACGGTCTTATTTTCGGGGATACACGGTACCCATTCCAGGGTGCACGGGTAAAAATTAAGCTATGGTGGGTGGTGGAGCTGCCTTACTGTTTACCTTTGGATAGTTGCAGCTTGGCCTGGCACACCTCAGCCCATTTCTTCTGCTGCAGCCGGCAAGGCTTTTCTAAAGGTCTCTGCAGCTGTAACAGAGCTCCGGATCGATCCAGAGGCCTTCAGGAAATCCTTGCTGGACTTGCCGGATGAAGAAGTTCCTGAAGGCCTCTGATAGCAGAAAAGAGGCTGGGGACGATGCGCTAGTGAGGTGAGTCAGTGTGGGATATGCCCCCCCCAAAAAAATAAGACCTGGTGCCTTTTTTGGTGCCAAAAATATATTTTTGGGGTGGAAACACGGTAGTCCTTTATGTTGATTCTATGAAGTTTCCGAAAGATGCCCTAATTAATTCATGAGCCATGAGCCGAACTTCAAAAGAAATACAGTCATTTATTAGGAGCACCATTTCGGCAATATTCGGGTGCAGTTAGAACTAATCCCACGTAGATTTACGTTCCCCTATGACCCTGTCTCTCCCTCCTCCCTGGCCATGTCATAAATCACATTCTCCAATTAACCACTTTGGCTGGCTGTGAAATCCAACACCCTCCTTCTGATTGCCGTCAGGAAGAATGTATGGAATGCACTCCAGTTAGGGAAATCAATCAGCTCTATCAGTTCTCCCTCCCTCCTGCTCATGGCAACTTGAAAGCTTTGCAAGATTCTACTGTTGGTTTCATTCTGCCATTTTCTTTGCCTGCTTCAT